TTGCAACTTTTCTTTCCTTTAACTGATTGGGACCTCAAACTTGATTGTTTCATGAGAGACTCTAAATATACTAACTGGTTTTAAAAGATATTTTTAAAATCCATCCCAAATAATGACCTTGGAGCAATCGAATTTATAACCACAGGATGGCAGCTCCAGGCAGGTAAGACCTTAACTGCAAAGTATTTTATTACCCTAATCTTGATAATTATTTTTTTCTCAATCAATAAAGGACTCAGATTATGCAAACACATTAAAAATAAACTATACCCACTTTCTACTTGAAGTAAAAATGGAGAAAGTGAATGTATTTATTTCCCTCTTAATGTGTTCTGTCTGTTAGAGGCCTCTGCACAGGAGCCAAAAGCAGGGAAGTTTCTTGAGACGTTACCTGTTTTTGTGTTGTTGGTCAAGACCTATTAGTAGGTCATGAAACTGAATTAGTATGTTGCCATCAGCATTCAAAAATATATATATAAACTTTTAGTTTCAGCTGTGACATGTAAAGAACTTAGAAGTCTTGATTCACATTCTTACAAAAAGTAAAAGGTGAATGAAGTTAGTATCAGTAACTTTTTTCTAACCCATGAGACCTGAGGTTTCAGGGTAACATCTAACCCTGGAAAGGAAGGTGAACGGAGAGAGTCACAGCCGAGATCTGCTTACCTTGAACAGAAGACTCTGATGACATTAACCGGCATAAAGACTTAAATGGCAATTCTGATGGTCGAGTGTGGATTGTGTGAGATTCAGAAACCGGGGTATATTATGTGGGACCGGATGCATCCTTTCATGGATTTTACTTCCAGAAATCCTTCTAGATTCTTATGGTGAAGATCAGAGAAAAAATCCTCTAATGGCTCTTGCAGTGGGAGAGGAAGAATAACCATTGTGAAATATTTCCAGGGTGTTCCCCATAACGAAGAAATTATCTTCAAGGAAAAAGAATTTGCCAGAGCTCATTCCTAATGTGGGAAGGATGTTGCTTCCACTCCAGCCCCCTAAGATCAGGAATAAGGCAAAGATGCCCCTTCTCACCACGTCTACTCCACATTGTATTTGAAGGACTGAGGTAGTAAGATAAGGAAAGGTTTTAAAAGGATATGGATTTGGAAGAAAGAAATAAAACTTTAAAACTGTATTTTCTCCCAAAGAGGACATGGTTGTCTATGAAGAAGACCCCAAAGAATCAATAACAAAACACTCTTGGAATTAACAACTAATTATAATGAGGTTGCAAGATACAAAGCTCATAGATTAATTCAATTACAGTTCTATATACCAGCGATGAAAACTTGTATTTTGAAATTAAAAACCTATTTTTGACATTAGCATCAAAAAATGAAATATTTAGGCATAAATCTAACATAATAAGTACAGCATTCATATGAGAAAAACTACAAAGCTCTGATGAAAGAAAGTAAAGAAATAATTAAATGAGGATTTTATCCATGTTCATGGATAGAAAGAAAATACGGTTAAAATGTTAGTTCTCCTGAATTTGATCTACAGATTTTTTTCAATTTCAGTCAAAATATTACTAAGGTTTTTTGTGGATATTGTTGAATTTTTTTCTAAATTCATGTAAAAAGAAAAAAAACCTCAGAATAATCAACACAATATTGAAAAAGAACAAAGTCAGAGAACTAACACTACCTGACTTCAAAACTTATATAGCTACAGTAATCAAGTAGTATTAGCAAAAAACAATACTAGTAATAGGGAAATAGATAATGGAACAGAAAGTCCAGAAATAGACCCGCATAAATGTAGTGCACTGATCTTTGACTAAAAACAAATATGCAATCCTATTGAGAAAGATAGTGTTTCCAACAAATGATGCTGGAATGACTGGACATAAATATACAAAAGATGAATTCAGACATAGGCCTTATACTTTTAACAAAAATCAACTTAAAATTATTATAAACCTAAATATTAAACACACACTTTTAAATTTTTTGTAGAAAACAATAACATAGAAGAAAATCTAGGTGGCTTTGGCTTCGTGGTTAAAACACCAAAAGCACAATTCATGAAAGAAAAAAATGATTAGTTGGACATCACTGAGATTAGAAACTTTTCTGCCCAACAAGACACTGTTTAGGAAATAAAAAGACAAGTCACAAACTGGGATGCAAAATATTTGAAAGTCCTTATTTTATATATATATATATACACACACACACACACATATACATATATACACACACACATATGTAGGACATTTAAATATTTTTTTAAATTTTTATATTTCCATAGGTTTTTGGAGAACAGGTGGTATTTGGTTACATGAGTAAGTTCTTTAGCGGTGATTTGTGAGATTTTGATGCACCTATCACCTGAGCAGTATAAACTGAACCCAATTCGTCATCTTTTATCCCTCACCCTCTTCCCACCCTTTTCCCTGAGTCTCCAAAGTCCATTGTGTCATTCTTATGCCTTTGTATCCTCATAGCTTAGTTTCCACTTATGAGTGAGAACATAAGATGTTTAGTTTTCCATTCCTGAGTTACTTCACTTAGAATAATAGTCTCTAGTTCCATGCAGGTTGCTGTGAATGCCATTAATTCATTCCTTTTTGCCAAAAAAAGGGGGCAAAAACTAGTTAAAACAATCTGAACAGACACTTCATTAAAGAAGACATACCAATGACCAGCAAGCATATGATGAGTCAGGACTGGAGTGACACATCTGCAAGTAAAGAGGTGCCCCAAGCTACCTGAAACTGGGAGAGAAGCATGGCTTGGGTTCTTTCTAATGCTTTCAGAGGGAGCAGGGTTCTGCTGACATCTTGATGTCAGACACGTGGCCCTCAGAATGTCAGAAAATAAATCCCTGCTGTTCTAAGCCATGCAGTCTGTGGTACTGCGTTATGGTAGTTCTGGGGAACTAATACAAAAACCAATTCCTGAAAAAGATGCAGAGCAACAGGAAGCTGTTGTTTATTACTACTGGAAATGCAAAACAGTATAGGCATTTCGAGGAAAATTTGACAGTTTCTTACAAGCAAGATATATTATTAACACATAAAAACAAGCACATTCCTAGGTATTAACATATAAAAACAAGTAAAGTTCAACTGATTTGAAATTTTATGTCTATGGAAAAGTGAGTGTTCTTAGATGATTACTCATAATTGCTAAAAACCAGAAGGAACCATACACTAGGTGAATGGATAAATAAGTTGCTGTACATCCATACCACGCAACAGAATATTATCCACAGAGAGAAACACATGAGATATCAGACATATGGTACATTTTGAAAGATGTGGGCGAAACTAAAGTGTATGATGCTAAGTGAAAGAATCCAGTCTAAAATAGGCTACAAACTCTATTATTCCATTTATATGACATTCTGGAAAAAACAAAACTATGATGACAGTTAAAAATATCAGTGGTTGCCAGAGTTCGAAAAAGAAGGAGAGAGTTGAAGCACAGAGAATAGTTTATGGCCATAAAGCTATTCTGCATGATATTGTAATGGTGGATATGTAACACCATGCATTCGTCAAAATCTATAGGACTCAACAGCACAAAGAGTTAATGTTCACGTATAAAAACGTTAAAAATCATGTAAAGATTTGGAGAAACCCAAGAAGAAATGGAGAATGTGGAGAAAGAACATATAACTGTATTAAAAATACATGAAACTACCTCACTGAATGGGGTGGAAGTTGAAAATTCGTGGAACTTGTAAGTCTATAGGCAAAAGAAACTGTACATAAGCACTTGGTTGATAAATGTATCTTCCGTATGAGGAGCTGGTTTAAAGTTATGATCACAATACATAGATGTATAGGAATTGAAAAAGTAAACAAATGGAAGATGCTGAGATGCAGGATTCTCAATGTTGGCATGGACGGTTACAGATAATGAAGGGAAAGAAAATAGAGTGATTTGCATAGTAATGGATTAGAGTTGGAGACATCAGCATGTATTCATGCTTATCTTAATATAAATCTAAATAAATCTAAAATATTTATAGATATGTATATGTGCACAGGTTAGTATACACATGAAGATTCATATGCGCTGTCAGTCGAGAGGCCAAGAAGAAATGATATTGACAACAATGAACACACCTAGTGCTCAAAGGTTGCTTTCTAATGTCATTCTCCAGTAAAATGAACAATGATTCCTTGGAGAAATGCCTGATTATATGACCAGGTCAGGAGATATATAGAATGAACCTGGGGACTCTTGCAGGGCATGAAAGAAAGTGTTCAAAAATTAAGAAAAAAAAAGTAAAGTGAGGTTATATTGAAGCAACAGAGGAACTAACTAAAATAAATCTCAATGGCTAGAGTTGGAACAATTTGAGTGACAAAATAAAGTAGTCTTTCATTATAACCCACAACGCAAATATCCATGTGTCCATACTAATATAAACACACAATTGAATAAGTAAATTGTGAGAATAAAAAATTTCCCATTCAGAAGGATTCCAAATAGTTTATAGGCGAATTCTGCCCTCAAAGGCCAGGAGCAAAACCATCCCCACCCTTGTCAAGGCTGGGCTGTATATGGCAACTTCATTCCCAAGATTAGAGTATGGAAATAAAGGAAAAAAGTAACTTGACAGGGGAGAAGCTTGCCAGACACTGGCTCATCAGAAGATCAAGGTTACCCTCAACAAGGATAACTCATGGTGATGTGCACCCTTGATGTGACGTCCGTGATGCAATGTTAAGAATGGACTTTACCTCTGAGGTTTTCCTCCCCAAAACACATAATCCTCATCTAATTATTTAAAAAATCAGACAAAATCCAACTGAGGGGAATTCTACAAAATACATAGCCAGTGCTCTCCTCAAAACTTAAAGGTTATCATGAAAAAGGAAAGTCTGAGAAAGGGTCACAGCCAAGAGAAGTATGTGGGAACTCTCCCTGGGATTTTTTGAAAGTTTTCTGTAAATCTAATGTTTTTCTAAAACAAAACTATATATACATATATATTTATATATATATATATTTATTTCTACAAAATAGTGATGTTGGTGATTTTCGGTGATGGTGCTGAATTAAAATTCAGGTGTTTCTCAGTCTTTTCCGGCAATTCCCAGCCACATCCCTCTCTTTGCTTAGATACTGGATTGCTTTTTCTGAGCCTCTCACTGTATCTCAGAATTGTTTTCCTCTATTTCTGAACAAAAAATCAACACTTTGTCTTCATCACCTGACACAAGTGAAAAACTTGTCATTCAACTCCAGCAATGCAAAAGTTTCTGATAGCCAGCGAATAACTAATGGACTCATCCTTCCAAGGGAAGGAGTTGTGTCAGGAGGAATATGATGTGATAAACCAATGTTGACATCTGAGGACAGAATGAAAAGCCAGTTAGTAGAACAACAAAACCATGTGCTTCATGATTAGCCACCAAGACAATGTCAATTCTCTTTTGGCTGTATTCACCTGTCAAAGTAAAGAAAGTTTCTTTGAATCAGTTTGCATGTTCTGAATTTCTAACTCTGAACCCTTGACCCAAGGTAAAGGGAAACTTAAACTTTCCTGTTTGCTTGCACCGAGAGTGAACTATCTATTTCTCATTATTCTGCTATGTTTTAGAAGAGATCACACCCTTCTTGGTGTCACTGCGGCTGAGATGATTCTGACCAGCCAGGACACTATTACTCTGCCTTGGATTCTGAAGGCCTCATGTGCTGTCTCTTGAGTGTGGCACAAAGATGGGGCTCCTGATTGGACAGCAGAGTCTCCAGAGGCCGGGACATGCTGTACCCAGAGTCACCTCCACCCCACTCTGATTTTCCTGCTCCAAACAAATGCTAAAAGTAACAATCAAATGATCCCCTAAATGGTCAATGTTTTTGTTTCCTCTCAAATTCTTTCAGATTATTTGATATGTTTTTTTTTTTTTTTCTAATGTATTTTTTAAAGGTCAGCTTCTAAAAAGTACACACAAATCTCACTCCCTTCCCTGCCATTGCCTTTAGAGCACACTTTAAGTGGAAATTTGGTTACATTGACACAAGCCAAGCATTTTCATCATCTTCTAACAAAGACTTGAGAAAATATTTATCTATTTATTTATTTAGAGATGAAGTTCACCCTTTCGCCCAGGCTGGAGTGAAGTGGCGTGATCTCGGCTCACTGCAACATCTGCCCCCGATTCAAGCGATTCTCCTTCCTCGGCTGGGATTACAGGTGCCCATCACCACGCCCAGCTAACTGTTGTGTTTTTAGTAGAGATGGGGTTTCGGCAGGCTGGTCTCGGACTCCGGACCTGACTTGATCTGCCCACCTTGGCCTCACAAAGTGCTGGGGTTACAGGCGTGAGCCACTGGGCTCTGCCAGCAGAGCATTTGAGAGACACATGCATGGTGCTCTCTTTAGAAGTTTCATGTCTGCTCCGAAAACCAGGTCAGGGAATAGTGACTTTTTTTATTTGTTTGGTTTTGAAAGGTTTTTTTGTTTTGTTTTGTTTTTAGGTTTTTTTTGCTTTTTATTGATACATAATAATTGTACATATGTATGTATTTGGATACATGCATGAAATGTGTAATTTATTATAAATTTCAAAACAGCTAGAAAAGAAGATTTGAAATGCTTTCAATAGATTCAAATTTCTGTGCATTTCTGCTCTAGAAAGACATTCCAGTAACATCTCTTCTCCTTTATGATACATGTTGTTTCTTCACAGGATATCCTGGAGTCTGAGTTTTAATTCAATAGATTGAAACCAATGCCTAGTCAGAAAGCATTTTTTATATCTACAGCTCTTTTTTTTTCCTTTTTCTTTTTTTTTTAAGGGTAGCATTTTGTAACAGAAACGCTGATAATCAGGTCTAAGTATCTCTGGAGACTGTAGCCCTCTCTTAAGATTAATGAGAAGAGATATTTCTAATAAAAATAGCAGCAGGAGATGTGCTAGGAAATGAGTTGGAAATCTTAAAATGTTTTCACAAATACATGACTCAGATGCTAGGTCACCAGTCTCCATCTTAGTTTCAATTATTTTTTAAAAATCCATCAATTCAGAAAGCCCTTAGTGCTTTGGATGTGCTTTTTCCATATTCCATTCTGCACTCCTAGAGAGCCACTCGGTGCCCAGTGTTCAACCATAATCACCCTTGCTTCATAGATATTATTTCAGCCTGGAGTGAGCTTGTATGCAATATGATGAATCACTCTCCAGTGGGATCTAACACTGAGAAGATTTGCAAAAGCTTGTATTTAGAGAATTAATAAAGGTAGTGATAGTGATTCACATTTTTTTAAAAAAGATTCTTTCTGTTCTTCAAATGTTAGCTTTCTTAGTCCACAGCATTATATTTGCTTACAGATCTTGGGCTATAAATGTCTAGCACAATGCCTACTCTTAAATTGGAATTGAACAGAATTTAAAAGCTGGATTGTGCAAGCATAAGCAACGTAGGGCTAAAATGTTAGGTTTGCACTGGAGATTAGGAAGGGAGAAGTGACATTTTCTGTTAATGCAAAATAGAGGAAGATTTACCAAAATTATGTCCCAAAGGCTGACGGGGGCAGATACGACATACATTGGTCTTTGGTTTATCTTTGGAAGGAAAGCAGATATTAAAGAGAGGCATGTCCTCAGGGATCTCCTCTTTTATCGGCCTTAGGAAATACAGGAGAATGAACAAAGAGTATGGAAAATTTCCAGCAGGGCCTAGAAGCCAGAAAAAAAAAAATGCACATGCTGATATCAAGGAGCCTCTCCCATTCCACCTTGCCCTCCTCCCCTTGGCCCAACCCCTTGCATAGCCTCAGCTCATGTAGCTTTCTCTTGTCTGTGTGTCAACTAAAAACATCTTGCACACTTTACATAAATCCTATTTTTAAATACACCAGAGTGGTTCAAATAGTCTTTATAGGAGATGGCTAAGAGATCTCACTAGCAGTCCAAGCTCTGCTGTTAGCAGGATCTTAGACATGCTCTTTATATCTGTAAAACAAAGTTGTTGGGTAGGATGACGACCAACACTGCTTCTAACATGGACACTCTATGATTCTAATTTATCAATAAATAATGTGATGCAATATAAAGGTAGCTTTCATTTTGCTGTATTTTCAGACATAATAGGAAAAATCATCAATAACCTAATTTTAAATTTCAGGCTACCACATCTCTATTTTGGAAGCTATTTCAAGTTTTCTACACTCTCCCCTCAAATTTTCTTCTTTAGATACTGGGGTTGAAGAAAGTCATGCAGGTTGGAATCTTACAGAGTTGTTCAAAGATAGTTTTGCTCAATGTAACAAATGAAAATACTGGACACCCAGTTCATTTTGAATTTTAGATAAACAACAAATAATTTTAATGTAAGTATATACCATGAAATATTTGTGATATACTAAAAAATGTATCCCTTGATTACATGAAATCCAACTTGAACTAAGGATCCTATATTTTATCTGGCAATTCTATTTGAGGATTAACTAAAAGAGTTTACAAAAATGCTGTGCTTAGTAAATGCTAGTTTCCTTTTACTTATTTAGTATCCCTTGCAGAACCACCCAGAAGTAGTAAATTTCCTAATCTGTAAGACATTACAGAGTATAAAACACACCCCTATTTATTTAAGAAAATATTTATGGAAGGGAATCTAACTACTTTCTATCATATATGCATGGGAAATGAATTTTAAAATGGTTTTGCAGCAAAAATACGTAATCCTACTTATGTAAATACAATATGCTGTACATTATATATAAGAAAACAATTCTGGATTGGAAGTAATAGCCAACTAGTGCTGAGAAATTATAAAATAATGTAGTTAAAAATATATATATCATCATCAGTGAATGCAAAACACAGCAGAAAAAATACCTCAAGTATGTTAGTAAGTTGGGTCTATCTCTTCTGTGCATTATTATAAAAACAAATGCCAGTACAGTCATTCTCAGAATATTGGTAACTAACAATCAAGGTGTAATATAAAAAAATGACATTAGCATGAATTTCCATCCTGCACTTGCAGGGTGGGTAATAAAAAAACAAGGACAACAACAAAAAACATGAATTTTGAATGGATTCTCACTCAGGGAATGTGGGCAAATTATATGTAGATTATATGTAGACAAAACGATATTTCAGTAAAAACACTGAAGGAACAAAAAGCTTTAATGAGATTCCAGTGCTATGCTCATGCATGCAGAAAAAAAAATAATTTTCCTGACAATTACTGTAGAGCAAACAACAGGTGAGAAAATGAATGAAATTCTGGAAAAACTAGCTTAATCAAGAACTCACTAGAGCTTCTATTACTGTCTGGGGCCATCAAGCATTGTGGGAGTAATAATTATAAATCAAACCTATACAAGAAACAAACCCTACCTGCAGTTTTCCAGGTATACCGGGTCTTGATATTTTTGTTAAGTAAACCTCCGTGAGATGTGAGGTTTCTGTGTTTACTGAGATGTTTTTGGCTTGCTCTTCTGACCATTATGGAGTAGCAACCTTGGTACTCTCTTGAAATCCACTATCTATAGCTCCTATTAGAGGTGGGAGCAACTAATGGCTTTCAATGTGCAATACGGGTTGGCTGAACCTACAATAACGGTAAACAAGTTGCTGTCAGGAAAAAAGCTAGCATGCATATATATATATATATATATATAGTGGTGATGACCATATTTGATTAGAGAAGTTAATAATGAGGAACAAAGTATAAAGTTATAATAATTACTAAGTGTTGGCAACCAATATTTAAAAATACAGCCCCAATTAAAATAAAGGGGCCCAGATCCATTTTCAAAGACCAAGCAAGAAGGGTGACTTTAGAGCTGAGAGGCAATAAATGTACAATTGGCACAGAGATCAAGGAACATTGGCCATGTTCCGTGTCAGCATCATGGATCAGAAAACAGTGGTAGAAGTTAGAAGTGAAAGAACCCAAGAGTCCATTAGGATATAGAGTTGGAAATGACTGGAAAATAATCTCCTGGGCAATGAAAGACCCATAGACATTACCCCCGGCTCTCCCTCTATCCCCGGTCCTATAAAGGGACTTGGCTCACATTAGGCACCCAAGGAGCATTGGTGAAATAAATGAACAAACAAAAATTGAATTTAATTCCCTAGTGTCTATGTAAATATAGAGTGAAGACATTGAACTTTCCTTTGTATATAAAAGTGTAAGATTAGCCAATTATCTGTTTTTAGTAAAATATCAAAAAGTTAAATTGACTTCAGCTGCTGTGTGTGTAAAAAAAAGGGATGTGATTAACAAAAACAAAAATGTACTATCTTTAAATGGTATATTTTCAGGTGATTTTTAAAGACATTTTTCACAATGCATATATATATATAATTTTATGATAAAAATTATGTTCATTTGAATTAATTTTAGGGAAGCACAAACTAAGTGACAATCGACCAATGAGCAGATGGGATATTGATTCCCAGGTCACCAGCTGTTGCCCCAAAATGACTTTCACTCAAATCTCAAGCCTGGGATCGATGCCATAATCCCTAACAACATGTAAGGAGAAAAATAAAATGGAACACACTGCATCACTACTTTGTAAATGCTGTGATGCAGGGGCTGTTTCCCTGATAAGAAAAAGCTGCAGCATCTGCCATCAGGCATCCATCCCACCTCATTCCTTCCCTTTTCTCAGTACATGCATCACAATTATGGCCCCAGCCAGCCTCCCACCTAAGTGGTTCTGCTAGCTGCTACCTGGAGCCAGAGCTCAGAGGCTAGATTTATTTTCCAGGAAGAGGCCCCAATGAGCTTACAGAACATTCACCAAAATGATGGTTCTCTTCTCCATAATTCTGTCCGGAAAGCAGTATCTGACCTGTAGCTTATGTGATATCCCAGGGCTGGTGGGTCATGACAGAGGCTATCGGGGAGGACAGACAATGTGGCATCTGGGAAAGGATGATGATCCAAACCGCAGGGCTCCAGAAGAGGGATGGGAGAGCCCAGGGCCGGGCGTTCAGCCTGACTTGTGCTTTCCCATCACCAATTCCCCACCTTTCTTCGGGAGATGCTCCCAACCACAAATGCAAGTAAATGAATGAGTCCTTTGCTTTGATAAAAAACAGTGGTTGGATTTGCCAATGTCCAACCCTGCAGGGGGGTGTGGGTGGGGCTCAGGGCTCTGTTGCAGTCACCAGAGAGGGTGTGCTGCTTCCTTCCTAAGTGCTAGAGTTGTAGTTTGAGATAAAGGAGGGCCGAGATAGGGGGATGGGACCCCTGAGAGAAGAGAGACTAAGGTAGTCCTTTAGGTAAAGGTGAGCACCTAAACAAAACAAGAAGGGTTGGGTACAGTGGCTCATGCCTGTGATCCCAGCACTTTTGGGAGGCCAAGGCAGGTGGATCACTTGAGCCCAGGAGTTTGAGACCAGCCTAGACAACATGGTAAAACCCCGTCTCTACAAAAAGGTACAAAAATTAGCCAGACGTGGTGGTGTGTGCCTGCAGTCCCAGCTATTCGAGAGGCTGAGGTAGGGGGATCACCTGAGCCTGAGGAGGTCAAGGCTGCAGCGAGCCATGATTCTGCCACTGCACTCCAGCCTGTGTGACAGAGTAAGACTCTGCAAAAAAAAAAAAAAAAAAAAAAAAACCACCAGTAAAGAATAGAAAAAGAAAAGATAAAGAAAACAGGGAGATATCCAAGAAGAGACTTTGCAGGCATGGGTGAGTCACAGGACTTGGGTTCGAGTCCCGCCTCTGTCATCTGTTGACACAAGGACCTCAGGAGAATGGCTTTCCCGTTAGGCTGTGTGCTTCTCTCTATGGGAGAATAATAGTTCCTACCTCACTATGCTTAGCAATATTGATAATATACATAACGCATTCAGCACAGCATTGACACATTGCAAATACTTAAATAAATGTTACTGCTTAAAAAACAAAACAGGAAAAGCAGAAGGAAGAGCCAGAACCCCAGAGGGAAGATAAAAGTTTTAAAGATGTTGGAAGTGCAATGCTATATGCTCACACACTTGCAGGTCCATGGATCCAAATGTGGGTAAACTGAGCCAGTGTGCGTCATCTCTACACCACCTCAACAATCTGAACAACTGGGCATCAGCATGGTGGACAGCTTATTTTCTTTTAACAACCTTCTTAATCATCTCTGGTTACAGATTGACTAGTCTATTAAAATGAAGACAGACATGAGTTGTAAACCTCACGCTCTTTCTGCAACCGAAACTACCACCAAGGTTGTAGCTGGTTGCCTTCTCAAGGTGGTCCTGAAGCCTTCTCCAAGTAGCATTTGGAAGGTAATTTTTCTGAGCATCCTGGTGGCACAGACATCTTAAAATCCGAAAAAGATGGACTGTGGTAAAGCATTTACTGACAACTCATAGAATGATAAGTTCCTCCCATCACTAGCAGGAATCCAGTAGAAGTCTTTTGAAACAATTGTTGATTTGAAAGTCCAGTGTCTTGTATCTTAAACCGAGAACACAGTAATGGGATGCAAAGAAATGAGAAACAAAGGAAGATATGTATACATGACTGTAAGCTGATCTTTTAGGAGTTTGCTGAAATCTGCAAACCTTCTTCATTTTGCTCATTTGCCATGATTTGTCACCTTCACCGGGATAAATATAATTATCTCTTTCCCAGTTCTTCTATCACGGCCTGGTCTAAGGTTAGAAAAACAACCTTAATGCTCTTTTGTCTTTGGAGTTTATGCAGGATATTTATGAAGAGGTGACTGGGTGACTTTATCCAGGAGCAACTCATGTGACATACACCCTTCGTCCGTGGTTCACTAATCAACACCAACTGGCCCATACCATCTACTCAACAGGCACAAGAATAAACAGTTACTTGGAGTTATCAAATAGATACCCACATTACAGTCACATTGAATGAGTTTCTCACTGAATTCCCTTCATCCTTGGGTCTGCAGAACTGATACTGGACATCACATTCCTCCTTGTTTCAGAGGAACTCATCAAAATCTCCAAAAAATATATTCAGAGATGTCTTCCTTAGCCTGGTGTTCACTGATGCGCTCATGAAGGTGATGTTCTGTGGGCGTCCAAGGACCATCACCTGCTCCAAAGTCTGACCCACCATTGGCTGGCCAGTGGCCAATCAGATAATCTCAATGGCATGAACCGACAGTGGGCTGTGGGCACTGCACTGTGATGTAACAGAACCTGGGACCTGCGGCCATGCTGAGCTAGGACGAGAGGCAGAGGCAGAGAGAGAGAGGAGCCACCCTGAGAAGAAAGGGACCAGGTGGGCTTTTCTCTGTTGGTACCTTGCAGTTTAGCTCTTTTTTTACTGTATGCTCCCAGGTCAACCCCAGATGAACTGCTATAGCTTTCCAATACCTCTTGTTTCTTAGGCCTTCCTAAGTAATCATCTCTCCTTCCTGATACCAGATAACTCTCCCTGAAAGACCACTCCACAATCTTCTGGTAACTTTGTGAACTTAGGCAAGTTACTTCTCTGGGCATCAGTTTCCCCATCTGTAAAACAGCAACAATAACCCTCCCCCTATCTCACAGAGTTGCCCTGAGGACCAAAATAACAAATTCATGTGAGAGATTTGTGTATATTGCCTGAAACATAAAGCACACTTAATAACTTAATAACAATGACTGATTATACTGGGTACTTCATTTTTCTGAACACCTACTGGAGGATTGGAATTAGGATGGGGTCCACCTGCATCCAACCTGCTACTCCCTCTGGTTTGGGAGTGGCGCAGTGGTGTGTTAGTTAATAGCAAAAACTCTGGGGCTGGTCTGAGGTTAAGCCTGGTTCTACCACTTACTAGCTGTGTGGCCCTGGGCAAGTTACCTAACTTCTTTGTTCCATAATTTCCTCACTTGTGGGATGATAATAATAGTAACTATCTCATAAAATACATTTTAATAAGAAGGTAATGTATCTAAACTGTTTAAAGCCATGTCTGACACATATTGTGAGTGCTGTATAAAGGTTGGGTATAATTATACTATGTCATCCTCCCAGTTTTCCCAGCATCCAGACTGGTCATTCTAAATCACAGGTCTCTCCGGGCGCTGCTTCTGCTCCACACCCTTCAGTGACCCCCTCAAAGTGACTTGAAGCTTGTGCTACTTGGCTCAGACATCACACACTAGGGACCTGACCCCTGCCACATCTCCAGCCTCATCTTACTCCACACGGCAGCCACAGATGCACTTTCTCCCCCGGGGCATTAGTCCATTTTCACGCTGCTGATAAAGACATACCCAAGACTGAGTAATTTACAAAGAAAAAGAGGTTTAATGAACTCACAGTTCCACATGGCTGGGGAGGCCTCACAATCATGGTGGAAGGCGAAAGGCACATCTTACATGGCGGCAGAATGAGAGCCAAGTGAAAGGGGAAACCCCTCATAAAACTGTCAGAGCTCATGAGACGTATTCACTACCACGAGAACAGTGTGGAGGAACCTCCCCCATGATTCAATTATCTCCCACCAGGTTCCTCCCACAACACATGGGAATTATAGGAGCTACAATTCAAGATGAGATTTGGGTGTGGACACAGCCAAACCATATCATCCACCCACCCTAGACCTAGACAGATGCTATGGCCTCTGCCTGGCAGTTGTTCCCAGAATCCACGTCTTCTACATTAGAGCAATGACTCCCCTTCATCTTTTGAGTCTCAGCTTAGTGTCCACCTCCTCCAGGAAGCCCGTCTTGACTTGTCAGGTTACATCAGATGCCCACTCTTTAAGCTCATCTCCACTAGACCACTTATCATCTGTGCTGTAATCCTTGGTGTATACATCTGCTTCTCCACTCGTGTTTGTTCGCTTGTTTGTTTGTTTGTTTGTTGTGTGTGTGTGTGCTTGGATTCTATATCTGACTAAAGGTTGCCTCATCACCAGGCAAATATTTTTCTCAACTAACAAGAGGCAAGTGGTTCTGGGGTGGGCTTGTATAAGGTACATGGATGTGCTTTGGTCAAGAATTAGGCTGAGGCAGACATCAGGCCTCATCAAGAATTAGGCCGAGGCAGACATCAGACTCTGCGGGATTGGTGAGCAGGCGTGCACCTCCACTTGTTATATAACCTGTTTGTGTAAGCTCATACATGGCTCTACACCACTATTGTCTGTAAAAGGTATAACTAACCTGCTGATGCTGTTCAGGTGCTGTTGGTCTTGGCTCAGCTCAGTATGGCACAGCATGACATGGCATGGCACGGCATGGCACAACACAGCTCGGTGCTGGTGCCCAGAGAGAGAGTGTGAAACTGCTGATGCCTATAAGTGAGAGCTGCCCACCTTGAAGGTGGGCAGTTGGGAACCAGGAACTGACTTGTACCTGGAGACAGAAAGAATTAAGCTGTGAACCCTGACAGAGCTGGCCTTGCAGGCCAGGAAGAGCAGCTCCAGGCATGGGGGTGGCAGGAGCCACAGAGCGGGAACAGACAGCTGAGATAAAGGTGGACAGTATGAGAGAGCTGTTGATGAGAGAGCTGCTGAATAAAACCATATTCACCTGCTTGCAGCCCCCCAAGTACTCTCCCCCTCTCCTCCTCTTCCTCCTCCTTATTCTTCACCCCTCCACCTTTTTCTTCTTCCTCTCTCTCTCTCTCCATCCCTCCCTATTGTTAGAATGTTAATAATGCCCAGAAGTCTCAAGCAAACTTTCTAGCTGCAGGCCTCATTCCCATGCACTAGCACCAAGAGATGCTGAGAGATGGACATCCATGGGCAGGGAGACAGGGCTGGGATAGATGCCGTGTGGCCAACCCAGAGTGCCATCCCTGGGATCCCTGAATTCTGTGAGGATAGGACAGGAAGCTGTGCGTATTCCCTGGAGGTGCTTATTGCCTGTGTATTAATAATAACATTAAAAACAACAGCAAGCATAGTACCTATTTAAGAGTCACTATATTGCAAAGTTCTAGGAGGCTCATTTACCCTGAGTGTCCTGGGACAGGTCCCCTCTGGGAAGGTGTGATTGGAGCTACTGCTGTGCATTGGTCCCCACTGTGCAGCGTCTGTACCAATGACCTAATTCATTCCTCACAAAACAGCGTGATGGGAGTGGGTGTAGTTACAACTCCCTTTTATAAATGAGGAAGTGAAGAGTGGGGAGGGTTTTTTTCCATAGGGATGAGAGGTTCTGATTTTTTCTGGGCTTTATCATCATTCTTACCTGCAGCCAAAACATGATTATTGTAGGGATTTTCAAACTAGTTGGACCAGGGGCAAGGATAGCAGAGAAGGTTTACTCCCTAAATGCAGGTGGTCCTCTTAGGGTGGCCTAAGGGTCTAACCTCACCTGGAGCAATTCAACTTCTGCAGTTTGCCAGCTACTTGATTAATAGCCACTGTCATTCACTCTGGCCTCAATATAAACCCAGGTGTTGAGCAATTAAAGTCCTAGGGAAAGATGTATAGAGTTTGTTCTCCTTGAAAATCATAAGCATCACCAGTCAACAATATAGGCTCACACAGCAAGGCAGAGAAATCTGGATGATTGGCAGCTACTTGTGTCTCTTCTATAATGCAGGGTCATCACTGACTGTCCAAGGGTTTCAGTTTGCAGACCCTGTGCATGTGGGCAGGGCCGTGTGGTTAGTTCCCATCAAAAGATGTGAGCAGATTGGTGTGTTTCACTTCAGAGATAAGGACTCTCTATGCTGAAGAGATGGGCATCTGAAAGAGAGGAAATCCATCAGAAGGGAGAGATTCCTTCTCACACTCTTCTTTTTTTGCAATGACTTTAGAAGCCATGTGTTGGCTATGATGAAGCTACAAGAGGGAATGCATCAGATCCCTTGAGTCACCATGTGAGAGAGAGGGCTGTGGATGAAAGCAGCCAGAGACAAAGCAAGAGCATTGGGCTGTATATCAAAAAACAAACAAATAAACAAAAAAATCCCATGCCTTTCTTGCTGGGCTACTGATAGGTGGGGGATGGTTGTTACAGGACGTTAGCCTATCTGGATAATACACATATCCTGTCTCTATGACCTGAACTAGTTTAAAGAGGAAAGAAGCTCAACATCCAGTTAATATCTGGTTACTGACCAGTTTGAATACAACAGTTTTATTTGTGTTTTATTTCAACCAACAAATTTGTGTGTAGATGCAAACAAATATGCACAATTATACCTTTCTGCTCATTGCAATGATATAGAAAAACAGTACATAGAATGGTCCCTAAATTGTGAATCTTTCAGGGTATTGGCAGGAAACACATGATGCACTAAAAAGGGGAAAGTGATGAGAGTCTAGGGAACAGACTATTTGCATAGGCGAGAGGAGACTTGAAGGTAAAACAAGGAACAGGGAAACACATCAGGGTGACAGTAGGAAGCCCACTAGCTCTGAGTCAGAAGAGAATGGAAAGGAATATGTGAGTGGAGCCCAGCGGGAGATGCAACTATAGGATCTGGACACCCAACAGGAGCTGTGGTCTCCGGTAAAACAACTCAGGCTCTGCCACCTATGGCCAAACAGACAATGTGGTAGGCACCTTGATATGCTGCTATCCAGACCCTCTTTTGATGAAAGGTGTGTTGCTGCAGCTTCAGGGAGTGCTGTCACGATATGTAGACTCCAGCTGCAGCCCCTCCAGGGAGTGCCTGAGCTGTTGAGAGTCATCATCTCCAAGGGCAAGCCCCTTCCCAGTGGGCCCACAAACAGTGACCAATTGCCCTGGGAGTATAAAGGCCTGACCATCTCAGCCCACGTTGGGGAAATCGCTAGGACCAATCTAGCTCCCAAGCTCACTCCAGAGTTGACCATGCTTTTCTGGGCCTGCTTCACAGCTCAATATTTCCCTCTGCCCACTCCTGCTTCCCTTCCTTCCTTTCCAAGGAGTGGGTCCCAAAGTCACTCCCTAATAAGCACCCTGCACACTAACCTCCATTGCAGAGTCTTCGTTCTCAGTGAACCATCCAGCGATGGGGCAGGAAAGTGGGGTTGTAAACACTCTGACCTCTCCCTGTCTTCCTGCTCTTTTATCTGCAGGCACCACTCATTGGCGAAACCCAACTGAAAGCAAGAGGGTGAGGAAACTGAGGAGATTTTCAGAACTTGTTTAAAATAGGGCTGGACAAGGGTGGGAATGCGTGTTTGTTCTTTTAACCATAAGAAGAAATCACGTGTCTAGGGATGAAGGAGAGTGGGAAGCCATTAGCTGACAGTGTAACAAAAGCAGTGCCCCTGATGACAACAAGTATCTGGATAATAATCTGTTCCAGATGAACAGCCAGATGCCGATGAGAGTGTATACAGT